ACCATGTCTACGTGCGCCACATGCAAGACCTGCCCCCCCCCCAGACACGACAGTTCGTCCGTCGATTTCGACGATGACCACCGTGTGCCCCACAGACTGCATTGTGGGAGCAGGGACGGTGACTTACGCAGGGGTTTATAGTGCCAGTAGACTTGCGCTGCATCTACCTACACTCTCTCCTCCTCCCCCCCCTGGGCCCGGTGTCAAGACAGAGTCAAGAAGACCGGAGACGGGGGAGGCCGCAGGTGGATGGCTCGGACGGATCTTCGCCTTGGCGCTCCACTCCGCAACCCTGGTCCACACACCAAGACCAGGATTTCAAACAACACAACAGAGATTTGGAGGCTGGCACGGCCGAAGCCGCACCTGGGCGTGCCGCCAACGCCTGGCTCGGATCCCACACTGTGGTGGGAATGCCATAAAGGCCACATTAAAAAGGAGCCATTGCAGCCTGACTCTCAGACCGCCTCCCGTTATGGAGGAGGTCCAAGGTATCCCGTCAGTTGGCAACCTTCCAAGCCACGGCTTTTAGCGCACCGTGATAGCTTCAAGCGCGTCAGATTGTTTATAGTGAGGAAAGTGCGCTGAGTCGTCGACCTCACTCTCCCTTCCCATTCCCACACCCCAGCCACTGTCCGAGCCGGTCAGAAGACTGGAGTGGGGAATGGGCGCGGTGGCTGACATGGTCGACTGACCATGCCTGCGCGCGCCACAGCACGACCTGGCCCCCCATACACACACAAACACCAGGATTTCACACAACGGGGGTTGAACGGCGTGTCTCTCACTTGCGTGAGAGTGACGTGGAAGGTGCTGCTGCAGCCCGTCCCCAGCCCACCAGTCCGCCACTCCACACAACACACACACACACACACACACACAACGTGACGAACTGCGTGAACCGAGAGCGGGCCTCAATCAGCAACCTTCCTATCCACGACACTTGACGAGTCGGGATAGTCTCGGACACAAGTCACCCGTGCAGCCGAAACCGCATGGGGACCGAGTCGAGATGCACACTTCCCACTTGCGTGAAAGGCGGCAGTTGAGTGCATGAGGTGTGTGAGGGTTGATGTCTGGTGGGGGGATGGTGTTAGGAGGTAGGGGGTGAGGGAATGTGTGGTGTGACCGGCGGTTGTCTACCGCAGGTCGTCGTGGATGCGCATGTGGCCGAATAGACCCATGCGATGCGTGAAGGTGCGAGGGCAGTGTGGGCAATGGAGGCGAGTGCGGTGGGTGTAGGTTGGTGCTCCAGGCACTGGCTCGCCAGTCTCTGTGCGATGGATTCGCAAGTGACCCACCAGGCCGATGCGTGAGGTGAAGGTGCGTGGGCAATGTGGGCATGAGAGGTTGGCGGTGTCGGTGTCAGCTGTAGAGGAAGCAGTGGTGTTGGTGGTGGTGGTGGTGGTCGGCGCGTGTGACGGTGGAGCGAGGATGGGTCTCGGCGTGGATGTGCTGGATGTTGTGGCTGTATCGGAATTGTGGTGAATTCCGTTCTCGTGGGTGCGCATGTGACCGAATAGACCCATGCGATGCGTGGAGGGGCGAGGGAAGTGTGGGCAGTGGAGGCGAGTGCGGTGAGTGTAGGTTGGTGCTCCAGGCACTGGTTCGCCAGTCTCTGTGCGATGGATTCGCAAGTGACCGACCAGGCCGATGCGTGAAGTGGAGGTGCGATCGCAGTGAGGGCAGATGTAGGCCTGGCCCTCACGTCTGATGATGGAGGTTGCAGGGGTTGTGCCGGTTGTTGTGTCAGGTGCGGCTGTGGTGAAGTCGTGGGCGACAGACGCCGAAGCGGCCGTCGTTGTGGCAGTGATGAAGGAAGAGGAGGAGGAAGGGGAGGAGTGGAGGGTGGTAAGGTCGGCGGCGTCGATGTCGGCTGGGGAGTGGTTAGTGGGTGCACAAGATGATGGATTGGGAGTTGGGCTTGGCAGGGTGGGTGTGTCAAGGCTGCGGTCAATTCCGCTCTCGTGGATGCGCATGTGGCCGAATAGACCCATGCGATGCCTGAAGGTGCGAGGGCATTGTGGGCAGTGGAGACGAGTGCGGTGGGTGTAGGTTGGTGCTCCAGGCACTGGTTCGCCAGTCTCTGTGCGATGGATTCGCAAGTGACCGACCAGGCCGATGTGTGAGGTGAAGGTGCGGTCACAGTGAGGGCAGGTGTAGTCCTGATCCTCATCACTGGAATCGGGAGGGGTGGGGGTGGTTGCGGTTGTTGTGTCGTGGTTGGCGATGTGTGAGACGGCAGTCTGAACGGCCGCCGCTGGGGCAGTGGAGAGGGAGGAGGACGACGAGGACGAGGAGGATGGAATTGGTGGTGCGGAAGGAGTGTCAGAGTTAGTTGGCGGCAGAGAGGGCGAGGAAGAGGCGGGCGGGGGGACGATGGCTGGAGCAGTTCGAGAGGTGCAGTTGGTTCGGAGATGTCCAACAAGTCCGATTCGTGCCCGGAATGTCCGTTGACATCGAGGACACGTTGGGAGTGGTTGTGCGGCGGCGTTGCGGACTGGGCGAAGTTGTGATTTGCGGACTTCGCGTTTCGCTTTGGCGGCCGCGATTCGGTTGGCTTCATAGATAGCAGCGCCCGTCTTCACTGTTCTCCTCCATGTCGGACGATCGCGAGCGAGCTCTTCCCAGTTGGTCGGGTTGATTTGCAGGCGCTTCAGGGAGGACTTCAAGGTATCCTTGTAACGGCGAATTTGGCCTCCTTGACGACGAGAGCCCGTCGCGACGTCTCCGTAGAAGAGTCGTTTGGGTAGTCGCTCATCGTCCATGCGCACCAGGTGGCCGCTCCAGCGCAGCTGCATTTGTTTCAGTATGGCGTAGATGCTGAGGATTCCCGTTCGTTCCAGTACTTCCGTGTCGGGGATTCGATCCTGCCAGTTCAGCCGCAGGATGCGACGGAGACAACTGAGGTGGAAGTGGTTCAGTTGGCGTGCCTGCCTCGTGTACACCGTCCATGTCTCTGCTCCGTACAGTAACGTCGGCAGGATGACGGCCTTGTACATCTTCAGCTTCGTGCTCAGTTGGAGACCGTGGCGATTCCAAGCTGTGCTTCGGAGACGACCGAAGGCTTGACTGGCTTTCGAGATCCTGCTGGCGACTTCGTCATCAATCTTGGTGTTGTGGGAGAGGGTACTGCCCAGATACGGGAAGTTCTCCACCACTTCCAGTTGATTTCCGTTCACGTTGATTTGCGGCGGCGCGTTGGGGGCTGTGGCTGAGTTGGGCGGCGGTTGGTGCATCACCATCGTCTTCTGCGTGTTAATGACCAGCCCAAAGTTCTCGCAGGCGGCGGAGAATAGGTCCATGCTGCGTTGCATCTCCGCTTCCGAGGTGGTGTTCAGGGCGCAGTCGTCGGCGAAGAGGAGTTCGTGCACGGTAGTTGTGGATACGCGCGATTGGAAGTTCATGCGCCGTTGATTCAGAAGATGACCGTCCGTTCTGTAGGCGATGCGGATTCCAGGGCTTTCGTCGCGGTAGGCGTCCATCAACATGGCAAAGAACATAAGACTGAAGAGGGTTGGTGCCAGCACACAGCCCTGCTTCACTCCGTTGGTCACTGCGAATGCCTCTGAGACAGCTCCGTTGTCCGTGACTCGCGCCATCATACCGTCGTGCAGCTGACGCACCATCTGAGTGAATCGCTCCGGACAGCCGAATTTCTGCATGATCTTCCACAGTCCTTCACGATTCACCGTGTCGAAGGCTTTCGTCAGGTCCACGAAGGTAGAGTACAGGTGGGTCCGCATCTCCTGGCACTTCTCCTGAAGTTGGCGGGCGGCGAAGATCATATCCGTGGTCCCACGATGACGACGGAAGCCGCATTGGCTTTCCGGCAGAAGGCCCTGTTCCAGATGGTTATTGAGGCGGTTGAGCAGGATGCGAGCGAAGATCTTCCCGGCGATGTTCAGTAGGGAGATGCCGCGGTGATTGTCGCAGACTTGGCGATTCCCTTTTCGCTTGTAAAGGTGCACGATATTTGCGTCCTTGAAATCTTGCGGGATTTCACCTTGACACCACATCTCCTGGAAGAGCGCAGTCAGGTGATCCATCAGTAGGGGACCTCCGTGCTTGTAGACCTCGGCAGGGATTGCGTCCGATCCGGGTGCTTTCCCGTTGGAGAGTTGCTGCACGGCCCTGATGGTCTCCTGGAGAGATGGCGGGAGGTCGAGGTCCACGTTGGTCTCCACTTGCGGCAAGCGGGCGATGGCGGCGTCGGAGATGACGGAAGGGCGGTTGAGGACGCCTCGGAAGTGCTCGGCCCATCGCTGTAGGATTTGCGTCTTCTCAGTCAGGAGAGTGCTGCCGTGGGCGCTGAGGAGAGGAGCAGTGCCCTTCGTCGGCGGACCGTAGACAGCTTTGATTGCGGAGAGAAAATTCTTCCATTCGTTGCGGTCCGCATAGCCTTGGATCTCCTCAGCTTTGCGAGCAGTCCAGGCGTCCTGCATCTCGCGCAGTCGTTGCTGAAGCTGTCGGCGACTGCGGTAGAAGGCAGCTTTGTTGTCCTCAGTGGGATGATCTACGTAGGCTTTGTGGAGGCGGTTCTTCTCAGCAAGCAGATTTCTGATGGCGGCGTCGTTGTCGTCGAACCAGTCCTGGTGTTGGCGGGGAGCGCGACCGAGGACGGCGAGAGCCGTCGACTGGACCGTGTCTCGCAGCTGACACCAGCGGTTCTCCACGGAGGCGTTCTCGGCAGCGGCAGCGGCGGCGTCGTCGGCGGCGGCAGCGATAGGAAGGTTGTCTAGCCGTTGAGCTAGCTCATTGCTGAAATGGAGACGGTGAGCAGGCAAAGACAACAAAGCAACATCCAGCTTACCTGGGGGTCGCTTACCTTGTGGTCTCCTGCGAGGCTGTAGGCGGATACGCATCTTCGAGATGACGAGGCGATGGTCGGTCCACCCGTCAGCACCCGCGATCGCCTTCGTCACCAGTACATCCCGCTGATCTCGCCTCCGAACGAGGACATAGTCCAGCAGGTGCCACTGACGCGACCGAGGATGCCTCTAGGTGGCCTTTTCTCGCTCCGGCAGACAGAAGAACGTGTTCGTCAGGATGAGGCGGTGTTCTGCGCAGGTGCGGAGGAGAAGCAGGCCGTTGTCGTTGGAGCCGCGGAGACCGTGAGGACCCAGCACTCCCCTCCAGGCAGTATGGTCTGTGCCGACGCGGGCGTTGAAGTCGCCAAGGACAATCAACTTGTCCGCCTTCGACACAGTCGCCAAGAGGGTGTGCAGGTCCTCGTAGAATTTGTCTCTGACGGCGTCGGAACTGGTCTTCGGCGGAGCGTAGGCGCTGATGATGGTGGCGAACTTGCCTCCTCGCCGGAGGGGCAGACGGAGGCTCATTATGCGGTCGTTGATTCCCTGCGGAAAACATGGTAGTCGTCTAACGATGTCGGTCCGGATGGCAAAGGCGACACCCGCGTCTCGTCGCTCTGCCCTGGGTCGACCACTCCAGAAGAAGGTGTAGCCGGCACCCACCTCCTCCAGTTGGCCTTGTTCGGAGAATCGGGTCTCGCTGAGTGCGGCGATGTCCACCTTGTAGCGCGCCAGTTCTCGTGCCACTAGCGCCGTCCTCCGTTCCGGTCGGTTGCTCCTCGGATTGTCTAAAAGGGAACGAACATTCCAGGCTGCCAGAGTGAGCGGGCTCACCCTGCCAGTCTGGCGACTGCGGCGGCGAAAAGTAGGAGTAGGAGAAGAAGAAGAATAGGCTGGAAGAGGAAGAGAGCGATTGTTGTTGTTGTTTCGGTTTTGGCTGTTTCGACCGTGTGTTTTTTGTCTGCGGCCACGGCCAGCCTACAGACAGCGTGGTTCCCAGCGATCTTTAGGGCACCTTTTCTAGCCCCCTCCCCCTCGCGGGGGCAGGCAACGCATCCCTGAACAGGGCTGCCCGGTTATCCCAGACGGCTGCCGGACTCCACTATGGGCCACGACTTTTTGTTAGTAAGAGAACGACCCGAATTAGCCTGGGACCTTGGTGGTGAGGTGATGGTGTGATGGAGTGAGGTAGGAGAGAGCATACATACTAACTAACGCTAGGGGACTTAGATCTAGAGTGGACAAGCGGACACAGTCATCAGTCAGAGACGAAGTGAGGGCACCACACAAAGTCAAGCACCGTAACACCTAGCTATTAGTAGAGAGTGGCATAGACTGACGGACAGACAATCGCAGCAGGCATCGAGGGTGTCGTTAAGCTATTAACAGACAGGCTAGCATATAAAGGGCAGGCAGCAAGCGCAGCGTACGACGCGGAACTTCAACAAACAAAAGGAGGAAACAAAGCAAACGCACTTACCTCAGGGGGAACTTACCTGGTGGCCTCTTGCGATGGTCCAGGCAGAGCCTCGTCTCGACGATGTCGACGCGAAGATCCATCCGGCCAGCGCAGACCACAGTACCGCGCGTGCAGGTGCACGCACGGATACCCTCACCTGGTTTAGCCCGCCGGTCGAGACGTTTGCCCGGGGTGTGGCCGCTGAGCAGAGCCCAGCTACGTGGAGCCACAGGTGAGAGTTAGGTGCCAGCAAATGGACGCTAGGCGTAGTCTCACCTGCAAGCAAGTGAGCGACCACTACGACCTTCACGTGAACCCACCACTGGACACCCCTACACCCCCCCCCCAGACACACACACACACACACACACACACACACACACGACAGTTCGTCCGTCGATTTCGACGATGACCACCGTGTGCCCCACAGACTGCATTGTGGGAGCAGGGACGGTGACTTACGCAGGGGTTTATAGTGCCAGTAGACTTGCGTAGCATCTACCTACACTCTCTCCTCCTCCCCCGCCTGGGCCCGGTGTCAAGACAGAGTCAAGAAGACCGGAGACGGGGGAGGCCGCAGGTGGATGGCTCGGACGGATCTTCGCCTTGGCGCTCCACTCCGCACCCCTGGTCCACACACCAAGACCAGGATTTGACCACAAAACAATGGGGTGGAGGCAGTGGTCCAGTTGTGCGACGAATGCCGACAACAGGGTCCGCCAGGGCACCCCGCAAGTGTTGGCATTTGTTATTACGCAAAGATAACGCCTGCCAGAGTCCGATGTGGCCCCCGTGGTGGTCCAACGCATCTAACACGTGGCCCGTTTTGAGGGCACAACACACACACACACACACACCAGGATTTCACACAACGGGGGTTGAACGGCGTATCTCTTACTTGCGTGAGAGGGCCGTGAAAGGTGCTGCTTCAGCCCGTCTCCCAGCCCACCAGTCCACCACTGCACACGACACTCACACAACGGGAAAAACTGCGTGGGCCGAGTGGGGGCGTCAGTCAGCAGCCTTCCTATCGGCGACGCTTGACGTGTCGGGATAGTCTCCGACTCAATTCAATTCAATTCAATTCAATTATTTTTATTAAAGACCCGTCGGGGTCCCATCAAAGCAAGTAAAAATAAATTCACATGCGAATTTTAGATGACGTAAGCAAAATCTGTACAAAGTGCAATACATAGCTTTTGAGATTAGAAGTCCGTTAAGCAAAATGAAAATGAAAAAACGAGGGGTGAAAAAAAAACTCCAAAGCAAAATTTAAAATGATTGTAGTAATTTAACAGGAGAAAAAAAACCCTCAGAAAAATAGCATCAGAAAAATACAGGGAGGACTGGCCTGCATGTGGCGGTACAGAATGGATATAGTTCGACATCAACATGGCCGAAATAAATGTCAGCTGTATATGGCATTGTGTAACGGATTTCATAAAATGGCACGTAGGCGGGTCCGTCAGGACTGGCCTGTATCGCCTTGAATAAGAAAAATAAGTGGCGAAATTGAAAATCAGTCTCGAGCTGATAGGAACCCAGATGCGGCCGGTTTCATTCAACCGAGTCCATCCGAGCATGGGGGAGATGAGACCAGACTACTAGTATATGGCGAATATAGAAGGCTTTGTCAAGACCGCCGATGGAGCGCATTCTGTAAGGACACGATGACAACCAGTCTCGAGGCGACAAGAACCCAGATGCGGTCTGTTACATTCATCAGAGTCCATCCGAGTATAGGGCAAAGGAGATGCGACCAGATTACTAGTATATGGCGAATATAGAAGGCTTTGTCAAGACCGCCGATAGAGCGCATTCTGTAAGGACACGATGACAACCAGTCTCGAGGCGATAGGAACCCAGATGCGGTCGGTTACATTCATCCGAGTCCAACCGAGGATGGGGTAAGGGAGATGCGACCAGACTACTAGTATTTGGCGAATACAGAAGGTTTCGCCAAGAGCATCGATGGTGCGCATTCTGTGAGGGCACGATGCATGAACTGAAAAATTGGAATAATTAACATTTCTGGTGAGGGATTTTAGGTAGCGAGACTACTCATAAGGGAAGGAAACGTGAACAGATACGGAAATTTAATAGCGGCATGCTAAATTCCCGGTGGCCCTTTCTCAGTGTCATAGAAAAAGTTGTCTGGGAAGGATGAGGAAAATAAAAGTTTAATCGAGTCAGTATTCAGATAAAGGCGTAGCCTTCTCTTAAAGGTGTGTAGATTTTCTGAAGATCTTATTTTTATTGGAAGGTTATTCCAGAGGAAAGTATACCTGGAAGCGAAAAAAAGGGAGCGCTTAGAGGTGGAGGACGCTGGAGGAGGTATAATTAGAGACGAGTTGCGAAGATTGTATGGACGACTACTAGGGGTAAGTGTTGAAATCCGAGGAAAATTTGAACTATGATTAATGCGAAAGAGGAGACAGAAGCCCGCTTCTAGTCTTCGAACCCATAAAAATTTTAGGTTAATTAGCTGGCATCTATCTGAGTAGGAGATATTGGGATGTTCCCTATCTAAAAGTTTTTTAGAAAAACGTCTTTGGACATTTTCAATTTTTAAACGACTGTCTTCATTCATCAAACCAAAGAATGGGCAACAATACTCGAGAATAGGAAGTACAAACATACGATAGAGCCTTAATTTAATTTCATGAAGATAGAAATTGTAAGAAATAAAGCCACAAATCCGGGCAGCTTTGGCTGTAATTCTGTCAGCGTGCGGCGAGAGATCAAGATTACTAGTGTAGCTTATGCCTAAATCCTTGATGGTGGTACATTCAGTCATAGGTGTGCCTTGAAAGACCACAGGTTGGGGTAGCCTATCAGGTCCAAAACACATATAACGACATTTAGACGGAGAGAATTCCATTAGCCATTTTGAGCTCCAAGCTGAGAGAGCAAGCAAGTCAGCATGGATTTGCTCCAGGCAATGAAGGCTCGTAGATTTTTTGAAAGAATATACACATTTGAGATCATCGGCATAAATAAATGATTGAGAATGTTTAACTGCTGCTGAAATATCATTTATGTAAAGCAAGAACAAAAGAGGACCTAAAACGGTACCTTGTAGGACACCGCTTACAATAGGACTTTCACTGGAAAGTGAAGATCCCACCAAAGCCTTTTGTTTACGATTAGACAGGTATGACCTGAGAACGTCTATTAGTGGACTGCGAATTCCCATAGCTTCCAATTTAATCAAGAGTCTTTTATGTGGCACTTTATCAAAGGCTTTTCTAAGATCAAAATAAATAACGACAACAGATAGGGGATCATTACGAAGAGAGGTAAGTAGATCGAGAAACGACAGATGACATTTTTCACAAGAGCGATCTGGTAAAAAACCATGCTGGGAAGCCGTGCAGCCGAAGCCGCATGGGGACGAGTCGAGATGCGCACTTACCACTTGCGTGGTAGGCGGCAGTTGGGTGCTTGCGATGGGTGAGTGTTAATGTGTGGTGGGGTGGTGTTGGTGGAGGCAGGGAGGGAGGGTGTGACGGTGTGATGTAGCCGGCGGTCGTCTACCGCAGGTCTTCGTGGATGCGCATGTGGCCGAATAGGCCCATGCGATGCGTGAAAGTGCGAGGTCAGTGTGGACAATTGAGGCGAGTGCGGTGGGCGTAGGTTGGTGCTCCAGGCACTGGATCGCCAGTCTTTGTGCGATTGATTCGCAAGTGACTGATAAAGCCGATGCGAGAATTGAGTGTGCGTAGACAGTTTGGGCATGAGAAGTCGGCGTTGTCGATGTCGGCTACAGAGGTGGTGGTGGTGGTGGTGGTGGTGGTGATGGGCGTACACGGCGATGAAGCGAGAGCGGGGCTGGGCATGGGGGATGTTTTGGATGTGGTGGGTGTGTCGGGACTGCGGTCGATTCCGCTCTCGTGGACGCGCATGGACTGCGAATGCCTCTGAGACAGCTCCGTTGTCCGTGACTCGCGCCATCATACCGTCGTGCAGCTGACGCGCCATCTGAATGAATCGCTCCGGACAGCCTAATTTCTGCATGATCTTCCACAGTCCTTCACGATTCACCGTGTCGAAGGCTTTCGTCAGGTCCACGAAGGTAGAGTATAGGTGGATCCGCATCTCCTGGCACTTCTACTGAAGTTGACGGGCGGCTAAGATCATATCCGTGGTACCGCGATTACGGCGGAAGCCGCACTGGCTTTCCGGTAGGAGGCCTTCTTCTAGATGATTATTCAGACGGTTGAGGAGGATGCGAACGAAGATCTTCTCGGCGATGTTCAGTAAGGAGATGCCGCGGTGATTGTCGCGGAGTTGGCGGTCCCCTTTTCGCTTGTATAGGTGCAAAATGGTTGCGTCTTTGAAATCTTGTGAGACTTCAGCTTGACGTCACATCTCCTACATACATGCATACATACATGCAGAACTGAGGGAGAAAACTGGCAAAGAGGGAAAGGGCTGAAAATCAAAATGGCCAAACAGTCCACACCAAGGAGTCTTTCCCGACGTAACAGTCACCGTTAGGTCTTTTTATTTCTTCCTCTGGCACGTACCGTTAAATATCGTCGGTTCTTTTCTGTACACGTAACTGCTATTTGGAATAAACTACACAGGAATGTGAAAACTCTGCAAAATTATTCTTTATTTAAGAGAACTATTACTCGATTTTTGCATTCAGAAAAGCTCCCACAAATTTTGGGTGCTGAATACACTGATCGACTTTACCGTAACGATGACGTTTGTGGTCCCTAATCTCTATGACTGGTCTCACCAGGGGCAATTGCTTTAGCCAACAGCGACAGCTGTTCTTCGGTGCTTCTGCTTGGATCAGCATCAATTTCATGAAAAGAATTGGCGAATAATATTATCCGATACAGTGCACCCCCTCCCTTCTTGACTGTCGGCATTTTGTGGATAGCAATTTATTTCTCCTGAACCCTCCAAACCATAAAAACCACCATTAACTTTATTTTTACTCCTTTTTGACAGGAGTTTTTCTACTGCTGGCCAGATTTGTGTTTATCGCTTCCTGACAGTGCCTGTTAGCTGGCATTAAATACAATTATTATTATTATTATTATTATTATTATTATTATTATTATTATTATTATTATTATTATTATAAGGATCTGCCACAATAAAGGTTGGGTCGCCCGACGAAGCGATCACTGTAGGTCATCTTCGCAAACGTAGCATGCCTTTTCAACAACTTTAATGAACTAACAGACTTAGTTGGTAAAATTTACCAAGACATTAGAGTTTTCATAGAAATCTGGCTGTCTGAAAATTTTAGAGATTCAGAAATATCACTTAGAGACTATCAAAATGCGGGTAAGATAGATCAAGCCGAGGAGAAAGCGACATAATTTATGTCACTTGCAAGCTGACCGCTATGGCTGAGGTACACAGTCCGGTACGGGATGCAAAACTGTTAAGCATCAGCAGATCTGTTAAGTATGCCCGACCACTGATGCCCTCGGTAGTGTAATGTTCGCATAATCAGACTTTTGGCCAGGATCTCATTCTCATAACCGAACTGCGAAAAGAGAGTGAGAGGAAAAATTTCTTTGATGTCGATGATTTTAACGCTCCTGGCATTGATTGGCAATCATGGATTGCGCAGGGGCTGCAAGACATCTTTAATCCCAAGCAACTATAATGGGCGAAGAACAGACTTCTCTACCAGAGAGTGACCTTTGGAACACCGACGAGGGAGGAACAACAGTCAAATTTCCTTGATCCTATTTTTATCCCAGAGGCTGCAAATGTGCTGAACCTGCAGGAACAACCGTCAGGAGAGTCATGCGACCACATTACGCTGTACTTCAAGTACTCGTTGTTTTCCAAACCAATTCTGCCTGATAAGTGGGAAAGAAACGATTTGCAGGAAGACAATCCACCCATGAGGAAAGAAGTGTCGGCGGTATCATGGCTTAATCGTCAAAGCCGCCTTTTCCCAGATGGACCTTGTGCGGGCGCCACCCAAAAACGCATCGCCTAGGAGGATTTATCGAAGACGACCAGCATTTCATACTTTGGTCTTTTACAGTCCCCGCGTAGGCTTCTTAGATCTAACGACGCCTCAAAAACTTTCCAGGCGTTCGTCGACAGAGTGGTTCATCGTTATCTGACCGGCTTCGACAGTTTGATGTTGTTCACATTCCCCAGGCGTATCCTGTATGTTCCCCTCTCTAGTTTCTCGGGCACCTTGCCGCCTATTAGTCTTCACCCTCTCCCTTCAGAGGTTGCGACTATCCGTGACTTCCCATTCCTACTTGCAAGCATCAGCCGAAGCGGTCCCTGGGCATGTAGAAGTTCTACGGCCGATCCCTCCCAAACTGTGCTGACAACATTCCGACGTTCACGAATCTTCTCTTGGATCTCCAAGGTCTGTTTGGGCTCTCCAGATATGTCCTTACTTTCTTTAACAAATGGAAGGCTGCTTTGTCAGGCGCCACCTTCCAGACCTACTCTTCTACCGACACGCCTATTCATGTAATGATCGAATCTTTCACTATTTCGTTTAGCGCGGTTCTTCAACAGTACTTCAAATGTCAAACCCAATCCCTGGCTTTCTTTTACAAAGAGAAATGGCTTGTTGAATGGCGTCACAGCAAATTTGGATGAGGTTTCTCGCCCCCTTCTGATTCAGGTACACTTCTGACATATCCCTGAGTATAATTCAGTATATATGAGGGATAGAGGCAGAGCCTTGGAAAACCCTATTTACAGATGGACGTATGAAAAAAACATGCAGATATTTACATAGCAGTTATGTCGTAGAGGACTGCATTCGCATCACGGACTATAGGACACTTTCCTTCGCACACCACTCCCATTTTGACTGACTGAACTCCGGCGAGACCCGCCAACCGGACTGTATCCCCCAGTTTATCTTTAATATCTGGCACATCATGAGAAGCGGAACAAGGTTTCTAACGCGCTTCTGATGTCCTCCATCATCCATTTTAAGATATCTCCCGGGGCTGGCCACAATAAAATGGCTACAGGACAACGCCTTGTCGGTTACCCCTCTGACGATGACATCTGCGTACTCAAACTCCAGGGTGTTCCTCTGACCACTGACGACGACATCATTCCAAAACAATGAGATACGGCTGCAGAAACAAGACATCTTTTCCCCAATTTTTTCGATTCCTACTCGAAGTCGGGTGGGGGTCAGTAGCCCCATTATGCACGACGCCCCCGCCGCCTTTCACAGCAGTTCCTTATTGTCGCCATCCCGTCATCGCAGGGGTCTCTTCACCCTGCAAATCTCTCTCAAACTAGGAGTTGAGTCACCAACAATCTGATCTGCAATCATTTCGCCCGATATCATATGCACAAGGACATGAGGGTTTGGACGCGGACGTGTCTCAGCTGTCGTCGACATAATAAGGCTCCACTTGGCCCTTTCTCCAACCTCGTCCAAGGTTCGAATACGTCAGCCTGGACATTATAGGCCCCTACCTCTTAGCAGTGGTTCATCATCTCTCGATACCTCACTGAATGGATCCACCCGATGGCCAGATACTATCACTCTGCCCAATATCGAAGCTCTAATGGTGGTCAAGCTCCTTCTCAGACACTGACTTGCCATCTTCGGCGACCATTCCATCAATACGGCTGACAACCGTGCACTATTTAAATTCCATCTCTCCCAATATCTCTCCTTCCACTTAGCTTTTGCTCACATCCTAACGTCAGCTTACTAGCCGACTATCAACGGGATGGCCAAAGGGCTTCACTGTCAAGTGAAGGCCTACCTACGTGCAGCAGAGGAACCGGCACAAAATCGACTTACATGGGGTAGTGCTCAGTTCTCTCACTACTCCCTCCACCAAAACATGGACATCTTTACCTACATCGAGCGTTTTCGAAGCTATGTAAATTTTTTTCACAGAACCGGAATAGGACATGTGATCCTTTTGTTCCGTCGAAATTAAATAGACGGATGACTTAGCTTCACTCTTTTGGAAACAAATAGTTCCTCCGCTTCAACTTCTCGTTCTTAGTTTAAACTCATTGTTTCATACTCTCACGATCGTAAACTGCCCAGTTATTTTTCTTGACACTGAGATATGGCTAATGTCTTCCATATCAGTACCCCAAAATCTCTCCCTTAACTTCTCCCTTAACACTGCCTTACCACCGGACGGTTGCTGTATTGTTCTGACGATCTATGAGAGGGAAAGCGGACGAGCGAGGTCGTTATTGATGTCTACTTGATGAAATCTCTCTATGGCCTCTGAGCAGATTGTGAACTTAACTTCTGTGCTGTCAACTTGATAGGGCACGCGTATATGTACTTAAGGTCTTCTATAATCTCCGGATACTTGGACAGCTGCTTGAATAAGTCAAAATGCCCTGGATCAATGCTTTCTGATTAACTGCAACCAGTCATATGTTCAGAAGGTGAACCTGATGAATCTCTGTTCTTCATAACTTTTGGCGACCCCCTTCATCAAGCAGACTCGGCGGACGATTAGACGCATTACGCACGGCTTACAAGTTCCAATTCAAGTGTAATTCTTAGATATTCTCCCCTATGAAGTCCATCCTCGACTAGGTAAATTACCCTCAAACTTGCTGCACGTCAGAATCCAATTGTACTCTGTCTGCCAGCAAATGCAGTCCCTAACAAGTCCCCGATCATGTCCTACAAACCAGACGGAAATCCGCTAAGTCAGCGGACTTTCGACGGTTAAACAAATAAAGTATGCTATTAGCTGCCTGTCGGCAGTTAATGAACATTACGCGATTACCCTCTGCGGCTGATGGACTTTGACCCAAATATTCATGTATAAAATTCTCGGTCTGTGCCTATAGACCTTGAAAAAACTGATCTAATTCAACTTCGTAGTGAATTTCTCAGGAAATTAAAAAGCGACAATTTCTAAATTGGATTATGTACCAGAAAACACACGGGGAATGCTAGGGGACCCACTGACGAGTCGAACCCCTCGCAGCTACGCCATGCAGCGGCAAAACATCGGCGAAACACGCGTGTATGGGCTTTTGGCTAGTACCTGTGCTGTTATTATGGTATCACCTTACCCTAAAGTATACTACCAGATGCCTGTCGGCAGTTAATGAATATTACGCTGTTACCCGCTGTGGCT